TAGCAGGCCCCTCTTTTAAAATAAAGAATTTATTCTTATTTTAAACCATCTCTTGAGATAAAGAATTTATTTCTCATCTCAAATCATAACTACCCTACACCTTCCACAAACATTTCATCACCTTGTGTAGCTAAAAGAATTACATTCTTGGCATCACAGCGGCTGACAGAGAGAGATAATGAGAATGAGATTCAATAAGTGGAAACAAGAAAACAATTGGATGGAAAAGAGATACATGCTTCAGGTTTGTAGGACTATATACATACAACTGAGACAGATTTAGGTTTCCAACTTTGATCTTCTCATTACTCCACCTTTTCCCATGCGCCACAGCAGGGATGAAAGCAAGTATATATCGTTTAACTAAAGTATATATACCTCATTTAACTTATGTATACCTCAATAAAAATGTGATTGAGAAGTCAGTAAACTAAAGGAGGAATAAGCCTGGGGCACCAGAGTATTTGCGTGGTCCACCCCCACACTACTGACTTGGCCACAGTGTTTGACTGCGCAGATCCGACGGGATGTGGTAAGTTCAAAAGCAAGATATGTCAGCACAAATCACTTCAGAGGTTGATCATGGTACTCACCAGGTCATGGGCCCATGTTCAGCAGGCATCCACAGTGAGGAGGATATACCGATTGGGATTTCCGGGGTCCACAAAAACAGGGGTGTGACAATCATATTTTGTGTCAATCAAGTGGGTCTCGTAAAGCTTCTTCATCTGAACATTGAACTCGTCAGACTTGTTCCTCTCAGAGTCAGATGTACTGGCTTTTCGTTTGGCCGCGGCCGCATCCTTGACGGCCTGATCACGCAAGGCTTGCGCAGCAACCAGGTCCTTCGTCTCGGCTTGTTTGGAGAGTTTGGCTGGATTTTCCATCTTCAGGGTCAAGGAAACAGTGCTTTATCCTAAATCGCAGGCGGTGTCCAGCCATTCGCGGTACTGAGGCAAACTTTCTATCTCGACATTATTTTTCTTGACACAGGCAGAGCAGCGAGCGATGCTCCCAAACCAGTGGATGGACTAGGGGGTTTGAGGGCTTTGGTTATAACCCCGCGCCAGCGAAGAAATCGTTGCAAAGATCACCATCGATAAGTTGTCACTTCCACCATGACGTTGATGGGAATGTCGTGAGACGTGTTGACTTGTCCCCATGTATTTTTCTTCGGCTTGGATGATCCAGACGATCCTTTCGTTTTGGCCACAGCGAACAGGCGGAACGAAATCAAGATTTTCATTGGCTTCCCTTTCAAATCCCCCCAGAAAAATTAAAATTTCAGTGCTCGTTGCGCTGGTTTAAATGTAGAAGAAGAAAAAAATTAACCCGGTTGTCTTTTGGGGTGATAGCTCGTGTCCCATCTTTCTCCTCCCCTTGTGGTGCCTTGTGGCAGGTGTCATCTGAATGATTCAATCCACCAATCTTGGGTGGGAGGCTCGTCATTGAATCTGCATTGGTTTCTCCGCCATTGGGGGTTTTGCTCGATTTGCCAGGTGTAGATTGAAGGATATCAGTGGAATTGGAAGGCGTTCGAAAGGATATTGGGCATATGTAATGGTATTCGAACATGTTTAATTAGACAATCATGTGTCCAAGGCTTTTGCGAGAGAAATGAGAGCTAATAAACGGGATTTGTGAGGAAATGGAAGGGAAAATTGTTGGTGTTGGCCAGGATATGGCCAATCCGCATGTCTGTCGGTCATCCCGGTCAGGGTAAGGGCTTTGATATTTGATATCTAGGCATGGGTCGGACTTGAAACGGCATAGTCAGCGTTTTATAGACATTCTCTGAACTCACATGTCTTGCTTTGCAGAAGGTTTTACTTTTTTCTTTTTTTTCAAATTATAAGACATAGTTTGTAAAAAAAAAAAAATCCAACGATTTCGAGAAAAGCAAGAAGTTTGTTTCTTGAGAAAAAAATCCGGTGTTGCTACGTATTTTGATAATTTCATAAGTATGAATTTTCAAAAATAATATAAAAAAGTTTTACTACGTCTCACATAACCGGGGACCTGACTCTTCTAACATAACTCACTGCTCCTATGGTAATAATAATTGCCTCAGAGGCTCCACCTTCAAAACCCCAGCTTTGAAATTTCAAGCTTCCTATTTGCTTGTATAGCCAAAAACCCTCTTTTGTTGAAAAAAAAAAAAAAAAACACCGAAGTCCACAAAATTATTCCAAGCCCGCATACATGTACTTGTATTGATTTCATGTTCTTTTTCCTTTGAGGAGGTAGATTGAAGTTCTCTGGTAAACCCTACAATATGTAGATGATGAAATAAGCAAACAGTTGAGGTTATTTTCTTTTGATGAATTATCCCCGGAAAACCATATTCATTACTGTAAGCTTGTGACCAGCAGTTCCTCGGCCTTTTTTTTTCTCTTTCTTTTTTTCTTCCCGAAGGATGACATGATGTCGTTTTCCCCCGAATGCAGATTACTTGTTGGTGGTTATGTATAAGGTGATGTTGGTGATGGGCAATTGAGGTTCCCTTCACAGATGAAAGTGTGATGTTGTTGATAGTTTACCGAGGGCGACGTCAAGATGAGGGAGCCGACCTCACAGGCTGTTCACCTCCGTGTCCCGGCATGGTGCGACATCACCCGCACTGCATTGATCTGCTCAAAAACGTTTATTCTTCCAGGAGAAGAAACGCCTTTACTGCACACTCTGCCCGCTAGTCTGCTCTGGGCTGGCCGGCCTCGGCGTGTCTCCAAAGGAGTGATTCGGTGTCGAATAGTCTCGAACAAGTCTGCCTGCCCACTCGGCTCTCAACCCAACACCGCTTCTCCACTATATAAAATTTAAATTAAAATCACCCTCTTTGCTGCTGTTTACCATCCCAACAGTCCTCTTCTCCTGCCATGTTGGACGCAAACCTTTACACTCTCAACTTCGTTCGCTCCACCATCGAGCCTGATAAGTTATTCCTCATCCAGGAATCTACCGGCGAACCCATCTACTTCCGTCTCAGGGTTCCCGAAGTGAGTACCATCCCTTCAACACACAATGAAGAAAACTCTACTTGTGTCAAGAGCTTGACTTATTTTCTCCCAGGGCACCGAAACTCGCACCGAATTATACCATGCCTCCACCCTGGCTCCATTGGGAGTCTTTCAGCACATCTCGTCCAAGTTGAAGTTGATCTCTCTGCACAACCCATCCTGCAACATCGAAATGAAAAACTCTGGTTACATCCACTTCGAATGGACATTCTACTTTGACAAGATCCTCAAATTTTGTTGGAAGAAAGACATCGTCGGAATGGCGAGTAGCAAGAGGGGGTACACCTGCTGGATGGTATGCTTCTACATCCATCTAAACTCGTCACACGCACACATAAAATAAAACTCAACAGTTTTGCTGTCCATCTCTCTTCAGAGTCGCAAACCAGACCCAGATTACCCCTGTGCAATCTATCGACCAGGCTCATCAACAGTACCACCATCCTGCCAATTCCTCGATTTCAACATCAGGCGCATCGAAAATTTACAAGACCCTCGGGGTAAGGCACTCCACACCAACACTTCTTCTGCTACCAATTGACTTATAATGTGCCCTCATCATCCCATAGGCCTCGAGTTTGCCATCATACTTGCATTACTTGGTTTCACCGAAACTCCTGCCGACCAGGAGCCGCGTCGAAGTCCAACGGCTTCTCCGTCCCTTCCGTATGGTCAGATAACTTCGACCTCACCCATTGCCAATTACCGCGATTCACCCATTGTCAGTAACCATCTAGAATTCTACACAAAATAATACTCCTTCTGATCCTTTCCTTTCCTTTCAAATCGCTATGTTCCAGGAACCTAATGAACTCCGCGTTGCCGAGAACAGCTCAACCTCCGACCTGGTAACTCAAGGTCACAAATTATTCGAGGATCCACTCTTCCTCTACCTATCTGTTCATGCACCCACGCCCAAAGCATTCAAGCAGGCAACTCACGTAGCCGAGCAGATAAAACGTGATCGATACAAAAGGCATGGTGAAGAACTTTATCAATACCTTGTTGACGACATCATGAGGTTGGTTCTTCCTTGAGTCCTCTTCTTCTCACTCCCACCCAAAGTATAACTGAAATCTCCCTCCTCCCCATTCTAATAAATGGCGACAGTCAAGAATTAACAGGTGGAGAGCCCGCATCTTCCTCACCGAATGTTGCAACAAAGCCAAGCTGGCTCAAAGTCTATCTATCCCGAACCCCGCTCGACGAACTCCTCCCTAAATCAATCAGTCTACCCAAAACTAATAAGCCCAAGTTGGGAAAAGCTAGAAAACCCCAACTCCCTCCCAAGGAACCAAGACCCAATTCGTTTGCCGGTTCTTCCTCGGCTCCCACTTCGACCCTCAACTCGCGCCATTCCAGATTCAAGACTGGTGTTCATCGACGTACCTAAAATCTTCCTCTTTTCCATTTTTCCCGTGAGTTCATATTTTGGATGATTTATTGACATTTTTCTCTCCCCCCCCCCTCCTACCTCTG